ACGCGTCTTAGGGCCGTAGTGCGGTAGTGACACTTTTCCGGACATGGGTCCCTATACTCAAATGTTTTCTACTGTTGCACTGAATAACCCCTAGAAGTTTGATCCCATAGTTCTGAAACACCCTGTATATATATATATATATATATATATATGTATATTATTTTTCTTTGAGGAAAAGAGTTTATCGACAGATAGACCTCCTTGATTCTACATTTTTCACTCGATTTTTCTCAAAAATTCGTCGCAGAATAATGAAGAGAATACTAAGAAAATTTATTAATATGTATCTATATAAAATTTCAATGTTACAAATGTTAAATATATCTACTCAAAAACAAATTTCGAGATTCATTGCTGACAAAAACAAAACAGTCAACGATTGTCTTGCATCTTGTTATTACGCAAGATGTTTTTCCGAGATGTTCTGACGCGCGACACTTGGAAATCGCGCAGATAGGTGGGCTAAAGTTCCAAGTGAGAATCTTACTTCCGCATGCGCAGAGGAATGAATAAGAGAGAGAGAGAGAGAGAGAGAGAGAAGCGACTGTGTGTCGCAGGTAGATAGTGTAGATAGCGCGCGGCGCTACGGCCGGGGCGAAGTCCCGTGTATCGATTTCCTGTCCGAAACAATGTGGCGCGACGAAACAAATTCCCCGCGACGGTATCGTGTAACGCGCAAGCGACCGCATCCCATGCCGCTCTTATGTTACTCCTCAACCTTGCCGTTTTCGGGGGCAATCTGCGCGACGAACCGTGATTAAGATTGCAACGTGACTCGAAGTAAATTTACTCGTGTGCGGGACTAATTAAACATTGGAAGAGGATAAAACGCCGTGTAAATGTTCATGTCTCTCATATAAAATCTATATGTTTTTTAAATTAAAATTAAATTAAATTAATCCAAGATAACTAGTAATAAGTTTTTCGAACACATCTACGAATCGAAACACAGATAAAAAAAAATGCCAATGTTAATAACTTCATAAATAGTCAAGATATAACTTACACAAATTTGTAATTTTTACAATTTAATTCAATTTGAAAATAGATACCAGATGCCTACATTATTATATCTATGTGTACGTGAATCATACATAGAAAAATCATAAAAGTTATTTGATCCTTTCCCGCGTGTAAACACACTTTAGAAAGAGTGGATTCAATGGATCTTCGGATAGCAAAGCTGTTTAATTACTGAAATCAAACGAGTCGGGCAAACGACGAACAGACTCGTTAGTATACAACAGGGAGTGATCCTAGAACGAGAAGGCGGCGGAAAGCGGGAGAGACAGAGAGAGAGAGAGAGAGAGAGAGAGCGACAGTAGCTGGACTTATATATTATCGCTAATATGAAATATGAAGGCGGCTGCGGTGCCCCGATACTCACACATGCACACACAACATCGCTGTTGAGACTTAACGGCTGCAGGTGGCCCGACTAAGTCTCTTTTGGGCACTTCGGAGCTCTTCTCGACAGTCCCGGACTTTTAAGTCTCGTTCGCACGCGCGACCAGCTTCGAGCCCAAGCTACACATGTGAAACAAACGGACCGGTACGCACGACATGCACGCACGGTTGACTAACACACGTATACACGTCCGCGACACGACTGTCTGATAAACCTGTCGTGCGCATATCCAATCGGATAACTTATTTCGACGATCTGAAAATTCTATTATCTTGATTTCTCGAGAACACACGTGCGAATCGCTACCGTAATTTTCCGAGTGAGAAAATTACTATCGTCAGCAGTTTATGAGAACAAATTGTTGGTTTTACTGTAATTGAGTTTTTTTGTTGTGCATGTTAACAAGATGTTTCGTAATCCAATAGTTATCGAGAGATATATCTACGATTCGATCAATTATTAGCATTCATGGAATATTTTCTGTCTTCGACATATTTATTTATTTCTTTTTTTTTATTTATTTTCGCGAACGATGCGGGAAGACGAGTCTCGATGCGGGCGCACATCTACTAGCGAATTGTGTTCGTAGATGCTTACGATATATTATAGATTACAATCGTAAGAACGCATCTCGTCGATGAGATACGTATACATCGCGAGCATTCGCGCTCCACACAAATATATACAAATAGTCATGAAAATATATTGTACGAATATCGAGCACGGGGAATAATTTACGAAGCGCAGCTGACAACTAAATGAAAATACCTCTCCGTCGATAAATTTTGCTCTAAAGAGACGAATATAAGATATGTAAATATGTTAGAGAGTATTCTATCTTCTAAACTATATAAAATTCCTATTTGTGTTAAACTGTAAAAGATCAAACAACCTTTTTGTCGACTTTAAAATGATATTATCTATGATGGTGTTTGATTTGTTGATTTGTACTTGTTTTGATAGTATTCTGATTATTAATTTGGTGACATCATTACTGCTTTATTATGATGTAGCAAACATAATAATGAGATTCACTTTGTTATAACATTTGATCTTTGAACCGTATGACTCTTTCTAGCCACTTGAGTTTGACTATCTTAATTTGCGGCATGTCTTCATTTTTATATTATCTTGTTATGTTTTTTATATCTTCTTGTTTTTATTTTATGTTTACTCACTGATGAAGATTCTAATAAGAACAGAAACGAAAAATGCAATGTACAAGAAAACATTACATACAAATCATTATGCGGCCTACTTTTTTTTTGCTTGTAATTCTGAAGTAAAAGACACATCAGACGTATAAAATATTAAGTGTGAAAAAATTACATGAATATAACGCAATTTGCACAAACGTTAATGGCAAAGTGTGATATATTTGCAAAAAATGTTTTAAGAAAAGATATATGTTTTCTTGCACTATGTGTGTGTTCTTGTATTTTAAAACAGTTTTCACAATAAAAAAATTCCGCTTCGCGTATCGTATACGACGCAAACAGGTTTTTATTCGACTGATTAGAATTTGTAATAATTAGCCGCGAAAGGCTACCGAGAAACCGATCTGTTTTCTAATGTGATTTGCATGTGGCGATTTATCACATGTCGCGTCATTCACGTAATAATACATGTTGATAGCGGCGTTACGCGGGCGATTTATTGGTATTTTTTCTCTTCGCGCCCGGTCGACTGCAATCGCGTCGGAATGTCAGATCGATCGTTAATCGTTAGTCTCATTTAATACCAACATATTTCTACGAGATCATAGATAGCAAAGTACATCACAGACGTAAAGTTCTAATAAAGAGTCGAAATTCTCAACCGTCTTCACGAATGTGAAAAGAAAAGATCAATCACAGCGGGGATTCGATGATTTTTAAATATCATGAATATCAAAATATCCGATAAATATCAAGGTTGTAAAAGATCTCGAAGATCTGAGAAATCAAGAAGCTAATTAGAAGTGAAAAGAGAGAAAAAAAGCGACATTTAGAAATCCAATTAAAACTTAAAACATTCTTTATAAATACGTAAATTTGTTGATAATATTACTTTAAAGATTCCAGAAATTGGGAACATGCGCGCGAAATTGGAAATATACGCACTCTTGAGAATCAATTATTTTACGCAAATGTTGTAATTATACAAGTCAGAATTAATGTTTATATTTCCAAAACCTATAAAAAGATTGTTACGTGAAGATAAAAATGTCACGTTATCGTTTTACGTGGAATGAACGACGGTCGAAGTTGCGGTACGCGCGCGGTTTAGAATCTTCCTTGAGTGTGCGCTCAACTTCGTCGGTAACTTCGCATTAATATCACACGCGATTCGCGCCGTGCACAACCACCGGGAATATTACCAGACAGAGAAACAAACTCGGCGCGCTTCGGCTACCTGTCGCGAGCATTAAACCAGTTTCAAAAAATATCGCTGGCAATCTCGCGGCCAGGCGAAAAACAAACGTCGCGTCGCGACGTCCGGAATATGCACCGCGTGTCTGGAATGTTCGCGAAAGCAGTTATGGCGATGAAAAGTCTTTTATTTTCACTCGCTCTCTCTCTCTTTTTCTCTCTTTCATATCCTATCCTTTTCTTCGTGTTCCTTCTCGAAGCAAAACGCGGATTATCCGGATCTATACGCAGATAATCCACAATGCGAGCGTATATAATTACGGAAAGGCCGCGAATTATAGGCGTATTAATTAAACTACGGCCCAGGGGCGTAATTGACTACGGCTGCACGCTCATACAGAGGTGTCCACTTCATTGATTGTAATGCGCGGTAAACTTGCGCGAATTCGCACGCAAAATCGCGCTCGGACTATCGCGTGTTTTAGAATTTTACGTACGTATCGATGATCTTTTCCATAACATGCGCGCAACAATGTAGTAACACGGTTACATCTTGAAATTGAATCAGAATCTTTGTGGAAAAATTTATACAAAGATGAAAAACTTCTTTTCTCATCTTATTAGAGTAATAAAAAAAAAAAACATTTCTCGTCAATTTCTACATGTGTTAAACAGAAAATTAAAAAAAAAAAAAACAATACATGCGCTTGAGCCGAGCGTAGCGCGGTATATCGTCGCGGTATATCGTTCGCACTGCGAGGCGTTGGCCGGAATAATGTTTCCGGCGCGAATTAAGATCCGAATTTAATTCCACTCCCG